TCTTGGATGGCATTTTACGAGGAAGTGGACAAAATTATTCTGTGGCTAAACTAAAGATATTTCACCATCCTGGGAGTGGTGGAAGCACAATAGCACGGCAAGTTCTGTGGAAAAGCAGAAAGCGTTTCAGATGTGCTGTTATCAAGACCTCATATTCACCTTCAACTGTTTGTAACCATGTGCTTGCCCTTAGAGATTATGAAGAAAAGGAAATCACTCACTGTTTTCCTGTGCTGCTCCTGATTGAAGATTATGATGATGAGTACTTTGAAGAACTACAGATTGAGTTAATGGAGGCTGTAGCAACCAGGAAAATGAATACCTCCAGGCCTTATTTCATCCTCATATGCTGTAAACGATGTAATAACCCTGAAAGGCTTTGCAAGGCTTCACCACTAGACACAGTTGCTGTCACTCACAAACTGAAAGAGTCAGAGAGAAACTTGTTCAACACTAAACTTAAAAAGCTGCAGCAGAAATATGCCGAGCCAGAATTCATACTTACATTTGTGCTGATGTGTGAGGAATTCAATAAGACATACGTGTCAGACATGGTAAAGCACATACTGCAGGGCATTGACCCTTCCTCTCGTGACACCTGCTTGATGCGTTACATGGCTCTGCTCAACTGCTATGTACCCAATTCATACATTTCACTGTCACACTGCGAGGCTTTTCTGGGGCTGGGGGCATATACAGAGAGTAAAGCAAGAGCATATGATTTCAAACATCACTTGTGTGAACAAGTAAGAATGATTTTTATTGAGCTAAGGGAAAGTACCACTTATATTTCATCTGTTCGGATAATACATTGCCTGGTTGCAAAAGAAATTCTGCATCAGCTTTCAGGGAATCAATCACTAAGTCAACTTGCAACAACTCTTCTTCAGGAAAAGGTACTATTTGAAAACAGATTTGGACGAGAAGAATTCATAAAGTTTATCAGACATCTGTTTATTCGACGTGATAAAAGAAGCAGGGGTGACAATACTGATACTCTCTTCTCCCCATTCATTGAACATGTCTGTGAAGCTGAAGACTGTGAAAAAGCCATTGCTGTTTTAAAAGCTGCGTATGAACTCCTTGGAAAAGATCCTTTTTTTGCCCAGCAGCTTGCCAGACTAAATTACAGCAACGAAAAATTCGAAGACGCAAAATACTGGGCAGAGGTTGCAAAATCGCATTTGCCAACTGATTCTTACATTTTGGATACAGAAGGTCAAGTCTACAAGAGATGGTTTAGTTTCACTGTGGATAAAATGACAGAGGAGGATACCCCCGAAAGGATCACGGAGAAGATCGTGATTGCTCTTAAAGCTATGAAATGCTTCAGGGCTGCACAACAGGCAGCAAAGGAAGAACGTGAAAGTATGAACAATGCTGGCTATTTTGGAGAAGTAGAAGTAGGTTGTCGCCTTCTTCGATTTTTGTCCACACTGCCTGTATTCCACAAAAGTCCAGAGGGGAAATATACTGAGCTTGTGAAATATCTCACCACAGATTACATTCCTGAAGACATAAAAAGAACATGGGGAACACTTCATTCCCGCTTAAAAGGCTTGCGCCAGAACCTGTACAATGCTCTGGAATGGATTTCAGAAGAACTAAGTTATTTCCAAACAGATAAAAACCAAGAGAAGGATGATGAAAATGATGATAAGGAAGAACAAATTTATAATCCTAGAAAATGGCTGAGAAGACAGTCAGCAGTATATGCTGAATTCTTCATCTCAGCATCACTTACTGATGACAGCCACAATTGTCCTAACACTCAGCTCATGAGACGCATGATTATTTATGGGAGTGGTGGAGGAAATGTCACCAATATCCTGTCATTCTTAACAGATAAGAAAGAGAACAGGTCAGCTGAAAAGCTAGAAAGGATCCTTAGTTTCTATCCAGAAAACCCCCTGAGGAACAGGCTGGAGGACAATGATTTGATCAATTTTATTTTGTGCCACATTGCATTAGCATGCTTAGCACCAGGATCAGCCAAACTCCTTCCACTGCCAACTCTTCGTGACCTCAGTCTAAGATTCATCAAAGGAAAAAGACCATTTCCAGCAAGTGCCTATTTTTTGCTCACATTGCTGTACTGGCCAGATGAGGCATTAGACAAAGAGCCTAATCCTGATAAAGATGAAATTTTAACTTCAGCCCTTCAAACCCTGAAACGCTTCTACGACATCAAAATGAAAGATGTTCCTACCAGAAAGAAAAGAATCTACACCCATTTTTTTCTGGGAAAGGGTTATGGCTTAAGTAAGATTGTGCACAAAACTAAAATTGACAAATTAATGGTGGGGTCCTTAGATGAGAGGAGAATGAAGTGGCTGCATGGAACTGTATGGAATATTTCCATAATTCGTGACAATCTCAAAAGAGTTTCTGGCTGGACAAAGGACAGAAATTTATTTATACGTGGTCATGTGAAGGAGCTCCGTATCTTGCCACTCCATCACGAATCAGTGCCTGCTGGAAATGAGAATGTGACCTTTTATTTAGGCTTTTCATTTAATGGTCTTGTTGCTTTCAATATTGAGGTTGAAAACGATCAAACCATCAAAAGAACATAAGGTATGTAGTACAGTACTGTATACACTGTGCTCTTAGGAGGTACAGCACTGGAAGTGTCCAGTCTCACATTTAAAAACAAAGTGGACTGGGTAACTACCAGGCAAAAAGAAAATCAGCATTAACTGTAATAGTGACCAAGTAACTAAAAAAAATTGGAACTACGAGTAAAGTGAAATTTGAGCCAAGCCTTTGACAGTTTTGGAGTCACAGAAAGCAAGGTTTCAAACCAAACACACTGATCAATCACTTTCTTCTTACCCCACAGATTTGGATTTTAAGTTAATTTCTGAGTAGTCTTGATCAGTAAAAGACCTTGTACAGTGTAACTCCGTTTTTCTTCCTGAATCAGCAACAGAAAAGTGAACTCACACCACATACGCTGCTCTCTGACAGGTACCATGTATGAACTAACTACCAACTGTAAAGCCAATGTCAGTATGGAAGCACTTTTAAAGCTGCCTTCACCATCAGGACTGATAAAAAAACAGGTCTCAAATTCTGTGTAACTCCTACATTGCTTCTCTGTGTAAATATTACTGTGCTAGACATATCTGTATCTGGGGTGGGGTACAGAGATATGTGAGCAGTCATGGGTGACATTTATAAGCACTGTTATGTGTTCATAGTCCAAACAATTCCTGCACTTTGTGAAATGATTTTACATTATTGTCTAAGGAATGCCACAGAATACAGAACTCATTTTTTTTTCTCTAAAGCATACATCCATGACTTGAAAACTGCAAAGGAGTTTTTCAGTGCTGTGTTTGCAACCACGATGTCACATTCAGTTTCTAGTAACAAATGTGTTGTTGGGAGTTTCACACTGTTTAAGATATTGTGATTGAAGTTGCAAAAAAACCCTGCAATGTAACTTGTTTTAATCCAATAAAGATCTTTTATGAAGTATTACCATTTCTATGTGAGCTTTATTACCCTACCTGAGGATGCATTTCCAACAGTAGCTAGGTATGATTTGCTTTTCCAACTGCAGCAAAGATCTGGGCACAACCAAAAACTGAAAAACAAACAGCAAGCCATGGTGAATTCAGAAGGAAGATGGAAGATTATTGTGTAGTCCAAGCCTTCACATTCTGGTCTCAGGTAGGAGAAACCATTGCAGAAGCAAGAGAACTGGAGGGCCAGAGAAATCCCCCTCTGCTCCCCAGCCCTGCTGCAGGTGACAGGAGTATGTCTGAGCAGGTAACTGGGCAAAGGCAGCTTCTCCAAGTCTAGCCTGGGGCATTAGGATGGCTTCAACCCAGAGAAGAAACCGGGTATGTAAACTTACTGAAAAGCACAGGAGTGAAAAGCAGAACATTGACTGTTTCCCAGATACACAACCTGCTCAGATGCTGAGCCAGAAGCAAAGGAAAGGAACTTACCATGATGAAAAATGACAGCCAGCTTGGCCAGGAGGGCCTGTCTTGTTTTCTGCCTGCACACACCCAACTCAATTCTGCAGACAGCAGTGCTTTTGCCCTGTAGCCCATACTACTGCACAAGCTTGAGTCTTGTCTTTGAGGTATAAAACAGGGTTGCTTTTCAAATATGCCCACTTCTACCTTTCAGGAAATTAAAAGTTTAGATTCAAACTCTTTACTTCATCCAACCCCAGCCCCACAGAAAAAAAACCAAAACAGGTTTTAGAGAAAAAGTGTAAGCTTACAGATTAACTCTTGAGATTCCATGTTGCAAGAACAACCAGCTGAAGCGCACAGGGCAGCAAGTACAGACCCACCCTCCCTACCAGTCATGTTCACACTGGGGGGGCTTTAACCTGCCAGGCAACACACAGCTGCCCTTGCCCTAACCAGCTCTTAGTTGAAAGCAGTTCCCAAACTGCCCTCAGATTTCCCTGGAGCTGAAAGGCCCAGAGGACAAATGCCCATTAAGAACTTCTTGCACAGCCACAGTGCTCCCTTGGTGTCCTCTACTGCACCTCCTTGTCACACACACACAATTCAAAATGCCTCCAACTTGTCCATATCATAGCATGAAAATATCAATTTATGTTCCCTTTAACACCTCTCAGAAATTAACCTATGAGTGAACAATGGTAGCTAAATAAAACCAACCAGCCTAGCACAGTAATCCATTCTCATCCCTTACACAGGAGCTGCAAGGATACCCATCTCTCAAGCTACCTCATCTCTCCAGCATTTTGCTCAGTGTTTAGCAATCTCCCAGCATGCCCATGCTACCAACTTTTATGAAAACTGTCAGAAACTTTTCCTCTATAGTCCAACTCTTTCAGTTCTAATAGCATTGTATAATCTTAGCAGCAGGAGGGTGGATCAACAGCAAAAGAAGTCTCTGCAGCTAGCAGAGAATCAAAACTTGCTACCAAGTTATGCCCACCATAACATTTGTTGCGATAGTAATTTAAATCGGTTTTCAAGAGGAGAAAAAAAATGACACAGAAACAGTGGTTCACTTCTGTTTAATCAGACTGTCACAAAATGATCACACATTACAGATGGCTATATGTGCAATGACCCATTCCTGAAGAACAGTTCAGAGAAGGTTCCCAGTGGATGCAAATGATGTTAGCTCCGTATTTTCTTTTAATCTTCTTTGTAAACTGAATGCTACAAAATTAAGCTTGTTATTGTTACTATTATTTGCATGCATTAAAATGATGCATATACTTACCAATCTCTCATTTTCTTGAATTAAATTCAACATCAGTACTTTGCCACCACCTGTCTTTTGAAAAAGATCAGTAATCCCAGCCCTTTCACACTACTTAACACAAAAGCAGTATTAAGTTACAGAAAAAAACCCCTTCACAAGGGCTTCTGTGGCCATACTGCTACTGAGAGGGGACACTATTCACTCATGTGCTTTAAAGGTCCTTTATGAAGGTACTAAAAACAGCTTGGAATTTGCTCATTTTGGGTTTGCTGCAGTGACCAGGAACTGCAAAAGAGCAATTGGGAGTCAGCCAGGAATCTAAGGAAATAGTGGGAAATGACAAACTGTTCCAAACATACAGTAGCAGAAGTGGGAAGGAAAACTGCTGAACCACTTTACAACAGACATCTGCTCTAATGGAGCGTCAGAAGTTAAACTACAATTTAACACTGCTCAACTGGTAATCAAAGTTCAAATTTTCAGTATTTTTTTGGTCCTATCTCAACAGAAAATAAACTTTATTCTACCAAAAAAGTACCGTAAGTAATTGCCATTTAAAGACCTGAGTCCTACTACGATCTATCCTGGAGAACTGCACTTTTTGTTGTTATGACACCATGGAACATACTCTGCCCCTCTTTAGTGATCCCCACTGACTGCCAGCCTGGTGTACAAATAGTGCAGGTTTGCATCCAACCACTGTCAAAACCAGGACTTGATAAGGTAATTGAGCACCCAGAAGCAGTTACTCACTCCAACTTAGCACTGAGCATTGCATTAAGTATCAGCTGGGGTCAACCACTGACAGTGTAAGAAATATAGATACATTCTATTAAAAGGGTAATGGCTTCACAACAAGGTATCCCTTTTATTCTTGCATACCTGCAATTAAGATTAAGCAAACAGAGATAAAGCTATATTATAAATATTAATGTATGACTCCCCTTTTTTTCCCCTTCTAGGAAGAAAAACCTATGCAACATTAGTCAGAAATCTGCCTGTAGCTCATTTTAAAGACAAAGCAATTTAGTGTAAATTACCAAGAACTGATGTAGAGAACGTGGCAGGCAATGGGCTGCATGTGTAACTATTCTAAAACTTGGAAAGATACAAAAGCCTTGAAACTGTGTATGTTTTTATGATGAATTCTGCAGCAACATGTAAGATTTCAGAACCCTAAAACAAGCGATTCTGCTGGAAGTAGCCACTCATAAACCCACTCTAGACCCTTCAGATGAGCTGGCAAACTGAAGTGTCTGTACAGCTACCACGTAACTATGACCTTCCCAGTACTGACTAAATAATTATCCACCAGTGCTGTCAAAAGCCCCTCAAATTCAGAGTGGGACATCATGGCCTTAAAGAGTGAATTAAAGCACAGTTGTAACAGCCCATCCAGCTGTGGATCTCTGCTTTGTGCTACAGCACAGAAAAAGTTTTCTTCTCTTCTGCTGATATGTAGATATGAGATATACAAAGTCTAAATAGAAATAAATGCATGCAGCCATTCCAGACAAAGCTGCCTCTTTTATCCATTCACAAAGAATCTTTCCTATTTTAAGGTACAAAATATTCCATACAATAGAAACAAAATACCAGAATTTCTGGGAATATGGAATAGGGCAGAATTAAAATAGAGGCAGAGCAGAAACTCTGGAGTAAGATAAAACAGCTGGACAAAGCCACATTTGTAGGTAGCCTCTGAAGTGCTGAAATGAACTAACAAAAGTAGTAATTAGAAGGCATACAAGAACAAGCTCCTGGTTTACCGGCCTAACAAAGTAAAAATCTGTGGGTAAGAAAGGGTAATTAGCAATAGCTAAAGAAAATGGAAAGAATACAAACTGCTATGGATTCTTACAAACAGAAACGCTTAATCCCCAACACAAAAACACACGATCCTGCTGGTTTGCTGTTAAAAAACAGCCTCATTAATAACTGGCACGTTACCACAGTGATTTTGACTTTTTTGATTTTCACACTCTTCAGTAACAGCAAAGGCTGCTTGTCAAGATTCTGTATTAAATTTTCCTTAAAGGTGCTTGCAGATATTTTTTACCTGTCCACAAGCATAGTTAAATCCATTATAGATGCTAAAAAAAAGTCTAGTTTGTTCACTCACTACTGGAATCAGTAGTAGGTAACAGTCACATTTCAGAGACCAAAATTCCCCTCAGGTATTTAAGTGGTATCATTTGAACAAATTATTTCAAATAGGAACATCAGGTACTTACAGATTAAACTAACCTGTACTGGCAGTTCTGTGGAATTTTTCTTCTCTACCAGTAAGTAGCAAATGCTGAAATTCTGCTGCTAGTTAACAGAAACACAAATTGTATTAAACCAAGGTGTTTAACCCATAATTTAGCTTTTTATTAAAAAATAAAAAAATAAAAAAGAGCTGCCAAACTTCAATTACAGCAATTTGTTGCTTAAGAAAAGCATGTGAAGTAAAGGCAACTATAAAACTACTTTCAATTTGCCCTTCTGATTTTTCATACATAATCCGTAAGTTTAACAAGGTCACCTGTTGCCTACTAAAAACATAAAGGAAATTAAAATACTTACATTGCCAGGTTCCTTCAGTAAAGTCTTAAAATGTGTTTTCTTATTCTGCACTTTACAAGTCAAAGAGCAAAATATGTTTTTTCCCACTTAAATTTATGAGAAAGAAGCTAGAGAATTCAGTGCAAGTAACTCAATGAAAAAAACAGAAAAGAAAAAAGCCCTGCATTACATCTTTACCTCAAAGCATTACATATCTTCCTAAGTTAGGAGATGGTGAAATAGCTCCTTTGGCTGTACTGTATTCATTTCTACTAATTAAAATTACTGTTAGCAAAAACCAGTTATACGTACTGGCTACTAAGAGTAGCAGAAGCTGAAATTCTACAACTCGTGCCCCTTTTTGTGAATATGGCACCTGGGAATATGGTAGAGATTTAGACAAAATTCAAGGAAAAATAGTTCAGGATGTCAGGAGCTTGAACCTTGTATAAGACAGCGATCAGAGAGACACACTAACTGCTAACAGGAGAATTCATAAGGAAGTTTTCTAGCTCTCAATGTCATGTGCATCTTCTAGTTAAGATTATATTGGCATTAAATTCTACTATTTTCTAAAGCTTTTTCACTTCTTTATAGCCTCAAGAAAGAAAAACCTTAAGGTAAGTAAGTTAAAGACAGTATTTCTGCAAAGTCAAATTCACTGCCATTAAAACAGCAGCGTTGCTGACTGTCCCTACTGCAAGAAAGCCTGTAAGAATTTAAGGTTACTGTAAACTTGTTCAGAAGGTGCAAGGGCCTCACTATTCACAACAGTGTCCGGGTATATAAATACCAAATCTCACCATTATTCATACCAGGGACAGTCAAAACTGACTCAGCAGGATGCCAGGAACAAATGGCTTGAGGAGAACACCCTGGATCCTGTGGTCCAGGACAGGATATGGCTGGCTGCCAAAGCAGCAGGCTCCAGTGCTCAGCCCCCTCAGCCACACCTCCAGAGACTGCAGTAAAACTGCATTTCTTTTAACCTTACTGTGGTTAGAGCCTTACTGCAAATCTGTGCTCTGGCAATCAAGACTGCACTGAGCTGCTGCTTAGAGTGTGCCAGAAACCTCTCACCAAGTGCTTTTCAGAACTTCAGAAAGAACCTTTATATACATTACACTTTACAAACACTTTGATTCATCTTGATCTCTTAAACAGCTGTCCCAAAGCTTTCTTTCCTCTCAACTACTTCCAACCTAGCCCAACCATGACAAAGAGCAGTCACAGGCAGCTACATTTTTACAGAACCCAGTCACTACCACTGTTTCCCTGGTTTGATTGTTTTGATTGCAAGCATACAGATTTTTTTAAAAGTTCTTCGTGCGTGGTATGTAATTTCTTTATCACATCTCCAAGTTACTTTTCTTGTTTAATAGATCAGGCACAAATTGACTCCATTTAGCAGAGTATCACTAACCCCTCCTCTTTAAAAGTTATGCGCTCCTACTTAAGCTTAAAAAAACTGAACTCCAAGACCTCATTTTGTTAATATCTATAAAAGTCATGCCACTGAAATAAAGTCACCTTGACTAAAGACATTTCCCTAACAAAAAGATGTACAGCTTTGTGATATACAAACTGCAGCAATGAGAGCTGCAATACTGGAATGTAACTAAGAACATGCTTCATCCCTCAAAATAAACAGGTATTTGAAATTTGCCTATTTTTTATTTTGAGATTGTAAGAGATTCAGATACTTAAAGCAAGAAATACAAGCTCCACTATGTATCATTTTGGGTTAAACAGTTTCCTTAGACATTCTAGGGAAATAAGAACTTAAGACTACTGCAACTAGTATTTCTTCCACTTGCTTAACTTATAGGAGCATTTGACTATCTTAAAGAGCTGTTCTCATCTTCACTGTTATCAGGGGAGCACCATAATAAGGTTTAGCAAAGCAAGACCATGCTCAATAATCATTCTGAAACAGTTAACATGGACATGTCAGTTTTCCAGACAGGGATTTTGGGGAGATCTTCTATAGGAAAAATGCAAAGGGCAGAATACAAACAAAGAAGGGTACAACAGCAATGTGCAATCCACTCTTTTAAGTTAATTACAACTCCATCCTTTAATGAAAATTACTTGAAATCCCATTAGAGGTCATTATTTAGCAAAATCTTGAAGAAAAGAGTCTATGCTCATAAAAAAGCCTCACCACAAACTTTAAAAGTTTAATCTCAGAAACTTAAAAAGAAAAAGGTCAAAACAGACTCACACATTTGTTTATTTACTATTTCACTGCTGATATGCTGCAAGACCTCTTTGTGTAAAACCTGCTGTTCTGAAGCTGAAGTTGTCTTTAAGCAACCTCAAGCATTCACAACTGACGAATATGCAACAGAATGGGCACCTTTTTCCTCACAAAGGGTAGAAATTTTTGCTAGTCACTGTGTGAAAGAAGGAATTTCAAATAAAGCAAATTTTGAATATGCAACAGAATTTTCCAAAGTTTCAAAAAAAATATTTTCAACTCTTACTACTGTTGCAATAGTCAAATTTGGTGTATTTGAGAGATTGAGGAAAAGTTAAAAGTTCTCCCTCTAACTGGCAAACTGAAAAATCTGCAGCTTTGATTTCTCACTGTTCTATTCTGTATTACCAAATCGGATCTGATCTCTATTTCTTCACAGGGCTCTACATTAATATTTGCTGAGGTGCAGCTCACACAGCAGTATTAACATCTCAACCTTCTTCAAATAAACTGTATTCTGTGGGCTACACAATTTTGTAGCAATTAACTTTCTAGTTCAAGCCTATTTTAACCTTTTCAATAGCTACATCTCCTCAGAAGAGAAAGCATTATTAATTGATATTTACATGCCATTAATTCAGAGACTACACAAAATCAACACTACCAAACCCAAAAACAAATACAGCACAAATGCAATGCAGGGAAAGATGGGGAGGGGCAGTGTGGCTTAAGGACTACCTGAGCAGCCTCGAAGGAAATGCATTCTATTAAGAGAAAAGGTACCCACACATCTTAAAATAGGTTCCCTCCCCTTAAGACTCTTAAAAACACAGTGATAATAAAAAGATAAATATTAATATAGAGCCCATCTACCAAAAGAGAATAAAAAACCTAAATTAAAATAAATTTAGGGGCCTTCACCAAACTTGCTGCAAGTTTGGGGACATAAATATCCAACAGCCATAAAGCTGTGAAAGCCCCCAGAATGAATAAAATAAATCCCACTTGCCTCAGACTGAACAGGGCAACACTGAGACTCTGCCTCAGCCTGTCCTATGGCAGGGCTATAGGAAGAAGAAAAATTTAAATTTTAGAAAAAACATGACCCAATTAAGTGAAAGACATGCATTCAAAGTCAATAAAATTCCAGTGATCAAGCAAACAAAAGAAAATGACTGCTATAGCACCTCTTTTGTTATGCCCAAACAGTATTTTTTTGTAGTCGGTAGCTATTTCTAAATTGGACTGCTTGTTTTGTATTGTATCTTGATCAGTGGAACGTCACTCAGTTGTCTTGGGGCATTTTTCCCATAACTGATAGTATTTGTTGTACTAGTTCATGAGAAGTTGAGTTAAAGATTCCACCAGCCACTGAAAATGTTCACCCTTGTCTTAGTGTTCATGTAGAAACTAGACCAGTACAATTATTAAGACGTTTACTATGAAGTGTCATTAGTTACCATTTTAAACTGTGGCCCCAGCTCATGGTTTGGTGTATCACTCTCAATTTAACTGAAGGTCATAATGTCCTTCCTTGCTGCTCATAAAACTGAAGTAATCCTGGTATTTCAGTTTTCATCTTATATCCAGAATTCTTTGATTCCTACAAAATAACTAGGTTATCTATTCCATTCATTTAAGAGTTAGTTACCCAGTTCTGTGTCAGTACTGCTCAAGAGTTCCACAGACTAAAACACTGGCAGAAACCATAGAAAGCAGATGCAGCTGAATGTTTCTAGAAGCTTGTTTACATTGTCCTATGCATGCACAGAGCAAGGAATAGTTATCCACTCTTACTAGATAAACAGCCCAGCCTCAAATTTATTATCAGCTAATAATCCTAAAATCTCATCTGTGGAAGAAAAAAAAAGTAATCCAAAGGTTTCAGAAGAAATTTTCAGTCTACATATGCCAGCTAAATAGTACTTTATTTAGAACAACTTTGCTAATGGCAGAAGGCTATTCTAATGGCAGTATGGAAATTATATAAAGACTTCTAAAAAGCTAACCCTGGGTTTTTCAAGGTTCTTTCATACCAGTCTCATCCGTTTTGCCCTAAAGATCAGCTGCTTATTATGGTATTGTGAGACCATGCATAAAGTAATTAAGAACCTTCTAAACAATTCTAGATGCTACAAATTCTGGCATGTTTTTTTTAAAAACCTATTTTCCCACCTGTGTCCAAAATTTTCTTGTAGCCTAACCTTTTGTATTCAATATCTGCATTATATTGCAATTTCAAGACTGGTCAAAATGCACTTGCAAACATGAATTTCACTGCAAGATCTGCCATGGTAAATTTAGGCAACAACTAAAAAACAAAGCTTCTGCCTATGTAATTACATCACTAGAGTCCTGCAACAGTTATAAAAGATATGCTTTTCTGTAATCATGAAGGCTTTTACACTCTCTTTTCCAGGAAGAGATTAACTAAAGCAAAACCCTGTTTTTATGGCTGCATTACATCAGGGATTTTGCTGGGAGAGCTATGTTGATTACACTTGGTACTGTAAACCAAGTATTTGTCTTTCTACAAGCAACTATTACATTCAAAGTAGTTTTACTGGTTTTGGGTAAATGCACCATAAATCCAACTCTCTGAACATTAAGAAGCAGTATCCAAAGAAATGAAGGCAGGGACCAACAGATAACACAGGCACCAAAACACCTGCCTTTTACAGAAGAATCACACAAGAGACAAGATTAACTGAAGACTAAAGGTAGCCACATCACAGCTCTTATTGCACAGGAATGACAGGAGCAGAAGAGTAAGTATCCATGTGAAAATCACGTGGAAAAATTATTCACCTGCTTGTATGCAAGTAACAATGAAATATATGTGGCAGTACTTACTCGAGGGATTTTCATAACATTATTACTAAGGAAACATCATTCTCAAATGCATTCAAGCTTGAAGTCTATGCAGTATTAGCTACAAAATGGTACCATTATCAGAATGAGACATTCACCACTTAAAAGAGTGAAACTTAATTAATACTTAATTAATAAACTTGCAGAATATGCTGAGTTAACAATGCATGCAGCAAGGTTTTATCCCAAGAAAAGTAGGGGTCTGAAAATAACATATGGAGTATTACAGAAAGACACCAAAGGGAGAAGGTATTTACTTCACTGGGGCAGAAGAACAAAGCATCCTTAGAGCAGCAATATGATCTTCAGAAAAAGTAAAAAGCTTTATAGTTTTACAAGCAGTAGTTAAGATCACATTATAATGTATGAATTTTATGTGTAATATTATAAAAAGGACAAATATAAGACATCATAAAAATCTCTTAAGTGTTTTATAATTATCCTAAATTAGGTAAACAGAAGAAAACAGAGTATAAAAGCATTGCCTCAGCAAAACAAGTTTTATCTGTTAGACTTATGTCTAAAGCAAGATGAAGAGCTAACAAAAGAATGATATCAAGGCCCACTCAGCACATTTGCAAGCCAAATACTGCACATCTGACAAGTAGATACAAGTGATCAGAGAACTGCTTCTCAACAGAGGCTTGGAGTTATGGTCTTAAGACTGTTGAACACTTCAGAAAAAAGTGCCTGGCAATCCCTAATGGTTATACTAAGGCCATTCAGGTGTAACTAGATTGCACTGGATGCTCTGGTGCTTTTGAGACATTCTGTGACCACAGGTTAGAAGCTGAGACAATGTAGTATTTTAGCTGTACTGTATTTTTTCACTTTTAAGAGACAGTACAGAGTAAAGCCACATGAAGTACTCTAGTGCAGCTAAAAAATCCCAAGACTTCCAAGAAACAGAGCCATAATGCTAAGCATTATAATTAAGTGAAAAACTTACACCATCTACAAAATCATCTATGGCTGTAATGACACAAAAATCCTGATGATCCTTCAACCCTACTGTAAAGAAGAGATATCCCCATTAATTAAACTGCAGGTAAGACTTGAGGCTGGAACATGTATTTAAAGTTGACCTGCAAATGAAAAATTCACCACTCTTTTTTTGGTGTTGAGAAGAGGCTGTAGAGGCTCTCACTTTCCTCCCCTCTCAAAAGTCTCCCTCTACATTCTCATCAGAGGTGTAACACAGGAACACATGATGTCAGACTTAATTACAACCTTAACAGGAACTTGTCACTCTAGTCTTATAAACAGAGAAATGACTAATTCATAAAGGGAAGACCTCTCTTTGATAAAAAGGACTCTTACTCCAGAAACTTTCAGTGAATGGCTCAAGAACACTCAGACAACATCTGATCATAGCACACAACAGAAGGTTACAGATGGTACACCTTTCAGAGACTGCCAAAATGTGAAATTCTAAACATTTAAAGTAAAAACACAGCATATAACACATTACTCTTGCCTGCTCTGCCTCTTCTATGCATTAAGAGGGTTAAGCTATTTCTCTTTTGCAGGTCAACTTCAATACATTAACTGGAAGTCACTCACCCATGTGCCATGCACCTAAGCTTCTAGAAATTTTCTTCACCTAAAAGGCTCCTAAAATTCACCTCCATTTGCACATTAAAAAGTGTCAGTTGCAGAGTGAATTAATGGGACATACCTTGGCACTAGGATGTATCTCAGCGCACTTTCACATCCTACAAGCAAGTGCCAGGACTAGAAATCATTTAAAATTTATTGAGGACAAGAAAGCACAAATAAAGAAACATAAGCATTAAGAGAAGTTACAACCAAGAGTCAGGATGTGCCTCCTGCAGCCTCAGTTTTGAGAAGTCAGTTAATAAGTGTACAGGTCTTTGTCTACTCAGATGTACAGCTACGGAGTGACTTTTTAGAACAAGGAATTCAGACGTTATCAAAACAGCACCAATAATTGTGTTCATTACACCAATGGCTACCACAGCATGCATCTGTACAAACCTTTCAGGCTGTTGTCCATAGCTGGTCACGAATAAAAAGGCATATAAATTTTTCTCCTCTTTTATTACAATGAAGTTTATAACAGTACAGAAAAGTCACATGACCTTAGTGGGTCAATTTACTTAAACCCTGGAACAGGAGGAACTCTAAATACATTAAATATTGTTACAAGTTCAGACTTTAATGTACAAGTAGTTGGGAACAGTTACAGCCCTCACCAAACTATGTTGGGGACATGAAGTCCAACAGCACTTGAAGTGCTGTGAAGGCATAATTTCACAAATAGCAACATAACATTACAGAACTTGCCTTTAAGATGGTATGTTCATGTAATTCCAGCGCCTTCACAATTTAACGAACCATATTTACTATACTTCACTTCTAAAAACCTAGATGAAACATGAAAAAGAAGCCATACAGTATAAATTGCAACATCAGGAAAAGTTCCTGTTATTATTCCAAATAATTTTTCCCATGTAAAATAAGAATGTCCAATAGCTCCTTGCATGTGGGAAGATACTTATTTTTTTAAAAGTCACAATGAAGCCTTAATTGACGGAAGCTTGGCTATATTAACAGCACAAGATGAGAAAAGGTTTAATCTCCAAACCTATTAGAGTGTGAGTAGGAGCATCAGTAGCGGCCACCTTGCGACATTACAGGCGGTCTCATTCCCATCGGAGGGCGAGGAGGTCCACTCTGGTACGGGGGCACCATCGGAGGTCCCTGACCATATGGAGGCATTGCTCCAGGAAGATATCCTGGCATGCCCTGGTGATGAGCACCATACTGACCTATAAACAGAACAGTTAAGATGCAAAGAATAATTTTTAATTTTTTTTTTAAATAGTGAGAAGTGCATTTTGTGAAAAGCTTTACCCCTCCCTGTTAGCATAGGCAACTTCACAAATCTTTTCAAGAGCAGGAAGCTGGGAAATTTTTGATTACCATGAGGTGGCATGGGAGGTCTCATTCCTTGTTGCTGTGGAGGAATTCCTGGCTGTGGTGGCATCATACCTCCAATTGGTCCAACTGGTGGATTACCCAGGGCAGCCTGGCCTGGTCGAGGAAGATTGCGCTGGTATTTAGGCAACTGTGCCCTTCTCTCTTCCTAAAATCGTAAGAGACAACCATAACACACTGTGTTAAAACTCACTAAAAGCAACGTAAATAGAGGTGCAACAAAGTAAATTATTAAACTATTTTAACTACCTTACAAATTCAAAGACTACTAGTAACATCATAACATCATACAGCAGCAGGATTTGTCCCCACTTTTTGCAGACTTTCTTCCTTAATACAGACTAATTCCAGCATTCTGCATTGAATTCAAATTCTCCCCTTCCCCCAGCTGAATAAAGCCTTTTTCTCTTAAAAACACAAATCTAAAGACCTCTGAACTGTAATTAATGTTCATCTGTTTTATCCATAAACCCCGTATTTCTAACTGCTGTAATAGCATCCTAACAACTTCAAACTGTTCAGTCTTTTGCTCTACATTTATTACCTAGACTTAGTTAACTTCAAGTTTAAGACACATGCAGTAGAAGTCCAAATTATATTTTGGGTTGACAGATTGCCCACCACCACCAAAACTAAGGCTTAGACTGTAGCATGATCATTGCAATATCCCAGTCATCACTTTGCAATCAAAGACGTTCTCTCAGTTACACTTGTTCTGCACAGTTTGTACTCTCACCAGTACTAAAATACACATAATGCAGAGCACAGATGAAACTCCATTTAATCTGCCATATCATCACAAATCGCATTTTTCAGTAAGACAATGAAAACGTATGAACTTACCAGCGATATATCCTCATCTGGATGGATCAACTTACTGGTTGCACTGGTTGTTGTGAGGGTAGCAGGCTTACTTGTGATAGATGTAGCTGGTTTAGCTGCAGTGCTGTTTGTTGTGCTAGTGGTTGAGGCTGTAGACTGTGTGTAAGCAGGGAATGTTGGTTTGGGGGGTTCCGTTGTTGTCGCAGGTGTAGAATTCAAAGGTTTGAAATCAGTACCAACTGGCCCTGGCACAGCTGCTGCAGCCTGTGAAACAAGAGACAGGTCAATATTTATTTCTCAAAGCATACGAAAACTTAAATGATGACTCTTAGACCTCTGAAATCTTCCAGTGAGATATAGAATTATAACAAGCTTGACAAAAGTAAAGTTCAGCCTTACTGCAAACTAGAGCAACTGAAACCAAGACAAAATAAACCCCAGTATATACACATATACACACACACACAGGGAAGTCTAAAATTTGCAGGTCAAAAGCCACCACAACAAAGGAACAACAAAGAAAAAACCACCCCACTATTTTATCTCAAACACTGAATTTGGCAGATGTGTAAATCTTTCCTGAACCACTACTTTTAGGAGTCTCTAAGTATCCATTCATTATTCTTTCACTAAATTAACATATTTTAGCAACCATTAGTTTAGAGTATTAGAGCTCAAAGTGCTAGTATTCATTAAAATTAGGTATTTAGGAAATATTTTAATCAAATATTTAAGAAAGGTCTAAGGTGTCAGGGCTTTAAGCGTTCTCTCTGTAAACATACTGCAGTCTTTTCAAAGTACTGTGTCTATCTACAGAACTTTAATCTTATTTGTGAATGAAGAATCAATGGAAGCAGGTAAGAGGTCCACTAGAGATTCCAACACTTCGTCTCTCTTACTGTTCCGTTACAAAAACCCTGTAAAGTCTGTTTTGCAAAGCTGTCTCTAAATACACAGCAATCTCCAAAGCAAACCTTGGTTATGAGAGAATGCTTTTGTTTCTAGTCACTGCATATTTACAATTACCTGAACCTCCCAATCAAAAAAAAAAAAATAAATTAATATTCTGCACATAATGCAAATTTAAAACTCCCTACGTTATGATGTGGCATATTAAACAATATGAACTAAAAAGCCTTCACCATGCATCAAGCTAACCACTGCCCACTAAAATGCATTTAACTGCTTTCATGCTCTTTTAACCCTTTAGAACCAGGATGTAACATTTTGTTCTTTCACACTAAGAAAAATTGTGAGTTTTGACATGCTTATTTCTGGTAAGATGCAACTCATAATCAAGGACTCTGCAGTTTTACCAGCTAAACATAATCAGGAATATAACAGAAATTATCTGAAGATATTTAGACAATTTTAGATTTTACAGAACGGTCCAAAGGGTTAAGTTGCAAAGCAATTTGTTTTAAACTGTGACTTCCTGCGTACTTGTGCTGTGCTAGGAAACAGAGCGTTAGAAGATGCTGAGAGACTTTCTGAATTGGAGGAAGCTGCACTTGAGCTTGTGACAGGTGTCCCCATCTGTAGCATAAAAGAAAGGAAACAGTGAAAAGTCTCCAAACAAATGGGTGGAAAGTATCCAGATGAAAGGATTTCTTATACTAAGCCCTTTCTTATGAAAGGACTGTATTTTTGTAAACATGTATCTTCCCTGCAGAAGCCCAAAATGCAAACAGTACATTAAAAGGGCTTCTCCAACGTACTTGAAAGCAAGTAAAACCTCAAGGATCTACGAACAAATGCATTCAAAGGGAAGAGGTCACAAGCCACTATCAATTCCCCACTTCCCTCCCGAGAACATTGAAATCAACTTTTCACTACACTGATGCACTCCTAAATTTTTCGAAGGAAAAAAAAATAAAATTCTAACTCAGGCAATGTTTAACCAGTTTAACAAGACTACAGAATAATTCATCCATTGATCAGTGGAGAGCCCATTATCAGAACAACTGAGAAGAAGTCCTGTCAAGATTTTTAATTTGGAAATTCTAGGCAGAATCTATGCAATCAGATTCCTGTAGCTAATACATCTCTTCACCCACCCAAAGTTCCCTTATAAGCAACAAACTAAAGGTGTTTAAGAGTGTTTTGCCTACTCCTTTGTTTCCCAGTGTTTAAAAAACTTCTGTCTGGTTTCACAGCTGTTTCAAGACAAACAAAAGATTTTTTTAAAATTCATTCAAGCACTACACTGAATTAAACTTAAACACCAATCCCTGCAAAAGCCCAAACCAGTCATTTCTTGGACCTCTTCAATAATAAATAGGCACTATTGACATGGTGGCTATTTGAAGAATGTAACAAGAGATTCCAGGTTCTGGGACACCTTACCTGCCCCGCACTTGGGAAGAGTGGTTTAGTAACTGGAGGTTGTGGGGTGGGTGCTGTTGCAGCAGGAGCTGGAGGCCGGTTCAGAATGCCCGGGGCTGTAACAGGCTGTGCTTGTGTCATTGGAGGCATGCCAGGCCTAGGCCCAACAGGCGGGGGCATCCCTACAAACCACAAACAACAGGTGACGGATCAGGCTCCAGGAAGCAAGAATATTCCTTTAGACAATCCCGTTCCCAATGCTCCTTAGAACAAAGTTTCCCACTACAAGATATATTTTTAAGAAAACAGTAAAATAAAACATGACAAAGTGTAATGCCAGCAGTCACCAGCCAATCACCATGCACAGGCAGTAACCTCAAACACTCTGGAGCAATGCTGGATTGTTTTTTACTAAAGCCGCAAGAATGAAAGTTTACGCTCTCAATAAACCAACACAATTAATGCAGTAACTGTTTCTGACACACTGCACCCACCTGCCAAGAGCATGGGTGACACTGTTACAAAATCTTGAGAGATTAAATTGTTTCTGAACAGCACCAGAACTGTGACCAAAACACTGCCAGCTTTGCTGTGGTCATCAGTAAAGTGGACTGGCACATTTTGTAGTGCCGCAACACCTGCATTTGGTGTGCATGGACCTCTAGGAGAGGGTCAGTGGGAAGTTAACAGCTCCCATGGGTTCCCATCAAGCAAACCAGCAAATCTTAGTTCATTACCACACAACTGCTGGTCAGGTGGAACACCCAAGGAACTTAGGGCTCCTTAAGAGCTGCACAAGCTCAAGAAACATTTCTTCTAACTATGATAAAAGACCAAAATTTCAGCTACGTTTCTTAATAGTGCAGACTCATTAGTTGGATAAACCACCATTACTATTCCCCACTTTCCACATTTTCAATCATTACTATTTTCCAACTGCAACCACAAACATTAATTTTAAAAAAGGGATGAATAGAGACCTGGCAACATAACAATATGATTAAGTGCAATAAAACCAGAAAAGTGTATTCTATTTCTTACTTTAACAATGGTATAAAACTAAAATAATTATTTATAATCAGAAGCCATAAATCAAACACTTCTGCACAAGAGTGGCTTCTGTGGCAATCAAACCACACCATGGTGGTGGCATAAGGCTGCCATGTTATTTACATAAATCCTAAGTCTTAGTGGAAATAAATAAATAAATAGAATTAAACTCTCACCATAGTACGAGTTCGACAACCCTGACCTACCTGGTGGCATACCAGGCATAAGAGGTGGGATTCCTGGCCCAGGAGGCATCATTCCACCCATTGGCATCATCCTATTGAACAGAAAATGAGCGCTGGTATGAACACTAATGATAAAATGTTAAGACAATAGGCACATCCCTGTGTTAGCTAAAATGTAATAGTAAATAATTTAAGAAGCTCTCAAGAGAGGTAATTCCAAAGCAACCGACTCCACAAGAAAAAACAAAACCATAACCCAGCACCCAAAACCCCAAACACTTATTTCAACTTCAATGTCTCAAGATCTCACTTCCCCTATTATGAGATTTCCAGAACTAGTGTCTCTTGAAATCTCTCAGACAACTAGCTGAATGTTCCAAGAACCTGATCTCAGTACACTCATGGAGTCTGAATGTAGGAAAACCAGCTAGCTCTAATCATGCTACAATTGCTGTACATCTGCTATTACTCCTCTCTGACACTGACTGACAGATAACCCCAAGATGCAGAACTATCCAAAAAATATTGACAAACACAGAGCAGAGACCATAGGGCAAGAAAGCTTCTGGAGTTTCAATTACAGAATGCACTCCATACAGTAATAATATAGTGGGATTTTGGTTTTTTACTATGAAAAGTTCTCACTGTAATGTATTTTTCCCCTCATTAAAAATGGGTTTGGTTTCTTTTCCTAAATGAATATCTATGAGCCCTTTACAGGAAACAAACAAGTGTAGCATAAGTTTGCTTAATTTTCTGCAGACGTTCAAAAATATATCATGGACACAAAATAAAGGAATGTTTATTACTTTAGTGAGCAAGATAAGCTGATGTGCAGCACTCCAGTACAAACCAAAATCCCACTAAGAAAGAGTTTCTGTTTGAATGACAGTCAAGACACCTTCACCACTGCTGTTTTCAGATCAAATCTCAGGAACAGGTGAGCACTCATTCCAGAAAGTCTGACTTCTACTCTCATCTGTCACTGCTACACAGGGAACAACCACTGCAGAAGCAGCAATGACTGGGAACACAGACTCATCGTCTCTTTTTTGTTTGGAAAAGGCAAAGTGAATCCTGCCACCAAGCAGACATCAAAACAAGTGCTGGATGCTCACTGCCTGCTGCCCCAGAAGAATGACTTCCTGAAAAACTGCAGATAGTGCTAGAACTGGTGTCACACTAAAACCAAAGTTGTTTCCTGTCTCCTAATTCTTTGGTCATTTTTAAACGAAAGTTTATCAGGTTAAGTAAACAAAACTTTAGAGCAGAGTGGACAAAAGCATAAGGCAACACCACCCTCTCCTCCCAAAATGAAATGCAGTGAAGTTTTGGCAAATACATTTATGTTTTTGCAGGTGACATAACATTCACTGTAAGTTAACAAGGAATTGAATGAGGACTAAGTGTCAGACAACCTGACTATACTGAGTTTCCACCCAGAAAAGCTGAAGTTCTGATGAGCATCCAGACCATGTTGATTTTTAAATTCAAAGACTGTTAAATCAGTATTTATGTCTGAGAAGAGAACAAGCTTTCACCTCAGTGAACATAAAGTTTGGATTAAACTGAGTTCCTGCAGAATGCCCTGCAGTGTGAAGGATCAAGCACGTGGAGATGTTCAAGCTCTGGTTCAAAAGAGGCTTTAAGTCTCTAAGGGTCTACTTGGTTAACATTTAGTAGAATGCATTTCACATACAGTTTTGTAATACTATTTTAGATAAAAGCATAAAACCTTCACATATTATACACAGTAGAAAAGCCTAACTAGACACCTTCCCCAAATTCTTAGGCAATATTCAAAGGTTTTCAGAAAACAATTTCCAGCTTATCAAAAACATGACATAAAATGGCATAATGAATGTACCTAGAATTACATTAATGAGATGCTTACATGTTTCCACCACAAAATGACTGCATGTATTTTCTCTGTTGATGTAATCTGTGAAAATTTATGACAAAATCAAAAATCTAACTGTGATTTTCCAAACACATTGTGATAGGGTATGGTGTCAACCCCAAACAAGCATAAAAACCAACATATTTTGCCCAAAATACAAGAAAAACATAAACTGTCCAGTAATTTTTTCCTGTTACGTTGATGACTGATAACCAGAAGCACAACATATGTGCAATACACAAGGGAACAGTGGATCACAGAAGGCTCTAAACCAACACAATAAAATTTTATTTAATATTTAATTGATATGCTACTACTTAATAATTACTAAGTCAGGAGAAAGGCAAGATACTTTATTCATAAACTCAGTGTGGCCATATTTTACATGTTGGTTTACAGCCATCTAGTTCTTTAGTTAGTCTTAATATTTAGGTTACGGAGTCCACAATTCCCTATGACTATTTTTTTAATTAACTTTACTTTTTCTGTGACAGTTTAAAATGCACAGTATGAACATGTAATATTACAGCTTTCTTGCTACTCACCCAGGTGGCATTCCAGGCATAACTGGAGGCATTCCAGGCATCATAGGTGGAACACCTGCCATTAATGGGGGGATACCTTAAAAGAAAAATGTATTTTCAACAACTCTGATAATATACAGTTGCTAACATGGATAAATGCTTTACAGGAAGTTCTAAAAGACTGGGTTTTGAAATAATATTCAATTTATCTTGCTTACAAACAGAGCAAGATAAATACTATCTGCTAATCTGACTTTGATTGCCTTCAGCCCTGCAATATTGTGAATTTTCTTAGTGATCTCCAGAGAAGACATCTTAGTACAAGAAGAGACCATTCTTTCTTCACTGTATTTGTGGCCTGTGTATAAACAGCCTGTTCTGTGTTAGCAGTCTCCAGACTTTTCTACCCTGTTTCCAAAATACTGTTATAAATACCATGAACAAGGCATCACTGGTGGATTTTTGTTAGAAGCACTTATTTATCTGTCTTACTACTACATGCCTTCAGTCTACATGCCAACATTAGGTATCTGAATCTAGTCCACCATTTAAGATGTGCAAATTCAGGTTTCTACTGAGGTTTTCAGCAAGCACCTAAAACATCCTCTCACCTGGAGGCATCCCAGGTGCACCTGGCACAGGTGGCAAACCTGGCTGTGCCATTGGGGGAATGTACCCCTGCTGTGGCTGAACTTGCTGGGGTTGAAATGAAGTTGAAGCTGCAGATTCATCATCTTCATACTCATCAGAATCATCCTGTTGTTTCTTTTTCTGGCTCTCTGCAGACAGTACAATGGTCAAACATCGGTCAAACAACACAAATTATATTCTATAAGATTAACTAACAGCAAAATTCAAACCCTGTCAAGTGTTCTAAAAGTTACTGAAATGAAAAGAAAGAATGCTCTGTGAGCCCACCTATACCCACAAATAAAGGGAAGGAACATGACTCACACTACCATGACCTTGAACAAAAAGAGGGATCTACTCTCGTGTCAATGTCATGCTGTCCAGCATAAACCAAAGCAGTTCAACCAAAGGTATGCTCGAACAGCAAAGAAACCGTAGCATTTGGGAATCATCAGGATAGTTTTACCTCTAGCTTTTCTTCCCCTTACCCTCACAAATAAATGACCATGCCCATATTCATTAGCTAATTGTAGCTGCTCTGTCAGGAGCTACCTCTGAAGAGGAAAGGAAAAATCCCTCCCAGCCTCCTACATGGCTGGCAAACGTCTGGAGCTGCCCTCAGAGAACGCATTAAATCCCACCCTCACTGAATGCCACAGCTAAATAAGGAACACACCAGGGAAGTAACAGACATTGCACCTTACCCTGAGTTTTTTGTTCAAGTAACCTCCTCCGTTCCTCCATATCTTTTTCTGGAATGCCTTCCATTCCATAGATTTCCAGTTCAATGTCTGTTCTTCCGGGAATAGCATTTGGAACAGCATCTATTGTTTCCTTATGTACCTAAAGAAAAAAAGCCCAAACAAATCCTGCTGACCACAATTCAAGGTAAATTCTCTGTGTTCTTCAGGCAGTTTCAGGATGAAAAAGGAACATCTTTGATAGGAATAATCTTTCTGGCCAAGCATTTTCTTGATCTATGCTTCCTATCTCTGGTTACTACTACTACCCCTAAAACCAGCTTACATAAACTTAGAAAAACCAAGACAGCACAATTCCTTCACTCCTACAGAACTCCTTACAAAGATCTCTGCTGCACAGTGGCCATCTGACTGCTGACACAGCAGAACTCCTGTGCTGCAAACAGGCCATTGCTGTCTTATTCTAACCAGTTTTAAAGACTCTGGAAACCCCCAACCCCCACCTTCTTAAAGACACTTCATTTAAATTTTAGGTAAAGAAAATCTTATGTAAAGCTAAAACTCCTTACCTGCATACAGTGTATAGCTAAACCAGGTCCTGTATACAGTTTCTTATGACATATATGGCATTTAAAGTGCTTTGCTTTTTGATGTTGTATAAGGATTTTCTCATCATCAAAATCCCTGTTACAATACCTATTGAAGACTGTTAAGGAAACATTTAATACTGGAAGTGACCTTTTAGATAGGACTAAGGTAATTAGTGTCAGTGAGATTTTTCCTGAAGCAAAAGAATGGCACAAGAAGCATTTCTGAGCATTGAAAGGGTGACAAATATTGCATGGACGTCTGAAATCAAACACCCTCGTCTGATCCCCTCTTTACACAGGTACAAAAGTGGGAAGGTGTCTGCACGCAATCAGAACCATCACTTGATTCCATATTGTTTGACTCATGGTTTTCAAGTCCTACCTATTTTTCTCTCCAAGGGTGTGAATGCTGCTACAGCATGAAAGGAGAAACAGGCTTGAAATCAGAAAAGGGAAATTATGCAAATGACTCAAAGTGCCTCTTTAAGCAATTATCAGTAACTAGCAATCATAAAGGAGAACAAAGGTTTTAGTTAAAAATTCCCTTCCTCTTCCAGGTAGCCAGCGATCAGTTTTTATGACACAACATAATTTGTTGCAGTAACCGAAGAATTCTCTGCTCTTAAAAAAAAGCAAATAACTGTTTGGACATCTATGCAACAGAAAAGGCAAACTGCTTTCCTTTCTGTGGGTCAGCATTGATATTTCAGAAAACACTCCACACATTCTCCTAGGTGAGACAAGTATACGTTTGCTATTTATTATTAAAAAATGCTAACTTTTCTAATACAATGTGTCCCTTGCTTCCGCCAAAACGTGAAATAAATTATTGTGTCAAACAAGCACAGATGCCTTCCAAGACAAAATCGTAAAATACCTCGGGACACCTATTAAATTTCATTAAACAATTCTAGAGAACAGAAGCGTAAGAAAAAACCGTAAATTTGTAATCACAAAAATGAGCATTCTGAAGGAGCGATAAAATGAAAATTCACCAGTATTTCGGATACTTTAAAATTAAACCTGATCATGATGCAGCAATTACGAATTGAAAGCTCCCCCCGTCACGAAGAAAAAAGTTTTCAAAAATTCTCTTTTAACCACATTCCATCCCCCCTCCGTGAATAAATGCATTTATCAGTAGCAGGATTTTCTCCCTTTAGCATTCTCCCTCGTGAGGGATAAAGATTTTTCTCCATTTCCCGCTATCCCGGCTTTAGGGATCGGGCGGGAGGCCGCGGCCTCGGCGAGGGCGGCGGGAGCGAGCCTGAGGCCGTGCGGGCCGCGGGGAGCAAAGGAAAGACACGGACTGGGCCCCATCCTAAAGATCACGGGGCTGGAACAAGGCCAAGCACAGAGACAAACCGTAACGAGCTTGGGAAGAAGGGCTGAGCCCCATCTCGGGACGAGACGGAACGGGAATGTGCCCCGACCGCGCCAGGCCGCGCCGCTCCCCTCCCCCACCGAGCTCTCCGCATCCGCCCTGTCCCACACAGAAGGATACCAGCACCAAGGCTTCAGCTGCTTCTTCTTCTTACGGCCCATGGCGGCGTCACCCCGACCTACAGAGTAGGAGACCTGAGCGCTCCCTCAGAGCCGCAGCGCCCGCGCGGCCGCCCCAGACCGAGCGACAGACACAAAATGGCGGCCGAGCTCCTTCAGGCGCTGCTGCGGCCTCCGAACTCCCAGAATACACCAGGGCGGGGAAGGGG